CACTTTTCAAGGTTGGGCCAGGTAATAATTATTAATCTCTCTCATATGGGTATTAAGTACTATTTTAAAGTGGCATTTAATAAGTTATCTATTAATTCATGTATGTGGTGAATGCAGTCAAACTGATAAATGATTCTTGTTCTTTAGGGCTATGTAGACCGAGAAGGAAACCCCATGGGGTTTGCTGGACTTGTTTCACACTTGCACTATCACGAGCCTTCCAATCTTGTTTTCGTCAGTTTTCTGGTAAAGGGCCTTTTCCATAATCTCTGTCAGCCAACCAGGAGAGGTAAGCTTGGTATTTCATATGTGGTCTGAAAGCAGCACCGGGCACTGTAGAGAAGCTAGCACGTTGGGAATATTGTTTCTACAAGGAAAATACAAGTAAACAGATAATTTAGATGCCAAATTAGATAAAATAAAGCAGTATATGCCTACTAATATAGATTATATAGGAGATAGCTACATTTTGTGGCAGCTATCAAAAAATGTCGAGTTACTAATTTTGGAGATTCCTTGACTCCAGGATTCAGAACGTTTTAATACATGATTTTTTTTGATAAATATCTTTTCTGACTAAATCTAATATATGCTCATGATAGAAGAAGGACAGGGAAAACCCTTATGTTAAAAATAATACTCACTGTTGATATTTGTGAATATTTTCTTTGAATAATTGTACAGTGTATCTAGACAGCTGATATCGTATCAGTTGCACAATCTAGCATCTTGTTTTCCCCCTAAATGTTTTTTTGGCAATATCACGTGCAAATTTTTGAATTCCACTTGCAATTTCTACCTAAAATTTAATTTAACATAGTTTTTATGAAAGCCTTTGATTTTTATAACTAAACCATAGATCTTTAAACAGTGTCTCCCAGAGAAATGTTTCCCTGTTTGTCCTTAAATCTGTTATAGTTTCTGATGCTGGTGATTTCAGTGCCTTCCACAGCATGACTTGACTTTATCTTCTGTTGTTAACTGGCAGGAATGATGTACCTTGCACAGTGTCACTAGGCTCTGAATGTGCAGTGTTCTGTGAATCAAGGATGCTCAGGAAATTCTGTCTCCCACAGGCTCTGTAGGAGGAGAAATAATTTCAGGCAGTAAGAAGTGTGGTTGTGTTTATTGCTGTGTGTGGTAGAGACAGGACGTGTGCAGTTACAGACGTGGAGGTTGAACATTGGGTTGCTCTGTGAGGCAGGTAACATGGAATTTCATAAATAATGAAACTGAAACACAGAGAAGTTAAATCAGTTGCCTTGGTCCCCAAATCTTGAGCCAAGATTCGAAGATGAGCAGACTGACTCCAGAACCCAAGCTTGTAAGGTAACATTTCTTAACACTGCATGTGATGCTCACATGCTGTGAAGGGTAGGGAATGACTCAGGCTGATGGTATTGACATGAGTGGCTGGCAGGTGAGGCAGGGAGGGACCAGGAGGTCATTGGTGGGTGACTTTTGGAAAGCCTTAAGTGCTGGACTCAGGAGACTGGATTTTGTTTATGAGGCACTGAGATGCAATCAGAGACTTTCGAGGAGGGGAGACGTGGTCATTACATGCTTTAGGAAAACTGATGACAGACTGAAGGAGGAGGAGTTCAGATAAGGAGACACGGCAGCTTGTGGTTGGAGGACAGGGTCTGATGCAGAGGTGAAGGACCAGCTGGAAGGACAAAGAAGGAGTAAGACTGTCCTTAGAGATTCCTTAGTTGCTGTATTTGTTACACATTTCTAGTTTCCATGAAATAAAGTGCAATATAACATTCAATTTAAGCATTAAAAATGGGATTAATCCACTTTTTATGTTTATATAACAAGTCACTTTGTTCTGTATAGGCTCAAAATGTTTTTCTCAAGATGTTATGGAAAGGCTAGTGTTAGTCTTGGCACATCTGTTTGGAAGAAGATATATTCCAGCAAAGTTCCAAGATGCAAATCTCAAGTTTTATCAATCAAAGGTAAAATTTATGATCCTGTTAATGTTAAATAATTAAGATAATTAAATGGATCCTACCATAAATGATTCAACAGCAGAATTTTATTAATATAGGATTCATTTGTTTTGTAGGGTAACAGTTTGTTCTGTAATCAATTTAATCTGTAATTCATGTGTCTATAAATCTATCCAAAGATTAAACACTTTGAGGAGAATGGGAGAAAAAATTTGATCTTGTTTTCCATTTGATTGTATAGAAGTATAGCAGTCAGTGGCTAAAGAAAAAATGTAGGTAATTATACATGAAATGAACTAATAGTTCTCATTAACTATGTGGTTCTTTTAGGATCTTTTTACCTTGAGGTAGGGATTCAGACAGGAAGTGTATGTTGTGAACCGTGATGTCCTCACTGAAAAAAATACTAGAATAGGCACCTAAGAAGTTACCACTTGACACACACAGAGCAACTCATCCAATTGTATTTGTGACACTTTCTGTGATCACGATTCCCTGTCACCGAATCAGCATCAAACACGATGACTTACGTGTTTCACTGGAATCTGAGAGAGTGGGGCGGGCTGGTTGTGCCAGGTGATCTTCGTAAAAGGTGGCTAAGAAGAACAAAAAGAAGGCAGAGAAAGAAAAATCCTCTGTTACCCGAGTTTTCTTCTGCCCTTGTAACCTCTGGTCTTTTGGTGATGGCCCTTCTGGCAGGTGTGAGGTGGCGCCTCACTCTGGTTCTGATCTGCGTCTCCCTGAGGGTGAGGGATGATTAGTGTGGAGCACCTTCTAACATATGTGATGGGGACTGGGGTGCTTTCTTTGAGGAAACATCTGTTCAAGTCCTTTGCCCCCTTTTTTGGCTGTTGGGCTGTACTGGATTCTTCTGTGTCTTATCTCCTTAGCAGGTGGATGGTTTAGAAGTATTTTCTCCCATTCTAGCAGTGCCTTTTGACCTTGTTGATTATTCCCTGTGCTGTGCAGAAGGTTTCAGTTTGATGTCGTCCCCCTTGTGTTTTCACTTGCGTTGTCTGTGCTTTTGGTGTCACGTTAACAGAATTACGGCCAAAATCAATGTTGCTATATTTTCTCTTAGGAATTTTACAGTTTCAGGTCTTACATTTAAGTCTTGAATCCATTTTGAGTTTATTTTTATGTACAGTGTATGGTAATAACACCAGGTTTTCACAGACTCTTCTAGGGAATACCAAAAGAGAAAGCAAAGCCTAAAATTAACATCAGAACATGACAAGGACATCATGAAAAAATTAGAGATGTGCCTCTTCCATGACTGTAGATGGAAGAATAATCAGAAAATATTAGCAAGACAAATCCAGTGTGAGTTTAAAACCCTCACAATCAGGTGAGGTGCATTCCAGGCTCAGAGGGGCTTTCTGTGGTTGCTGCTCCCCGGACATGCCACTAGATTCTTTGAAATATTCACAAGTCCACTGTCATTTGAGGGCATCCTTCTGTTTAAAAGATTGTTTTCACTAAGTAGCACAAAAGCAAATATTTACAAGTAGAGGTATTGGTTTTTATAACATACACAGAAACAGAAGAATGAGTTTCAAGTTAGTTTCACAGATGAAAGGATGAAATAGTTATGTTACTGAATAGATGGATAACTATAGGATTATATTGCGCTGTTGTTTGCCCTTCTTCCAAACTTCCAGTTTTCAAGGAAGGTTTGTAGAGCTCTCTGAAAAAAATACTGGGCCTTCAGTTTTGTTTTGTCTTGATGATCTCCTTGCCAGTGCAGGTGTTCCTGGAGGATCTCCCCGAGGACTTTAAGGCTGCCCTGGATGAGTATAACATGAACGTCACCAAGGGCTTTGCCTCCTTCCTGCTGGTTGTTTCCAAATTGGCAGACATGAAACAGGAACATCAGCTCCCATTGTCAAAAATAGGTAAGTGGGTCTTAGCTCTTCTGTGGAACAATTTAAAGAATGAATCATCTTGCCTTAGACTGTTTGATCCCAGATGAAGAGCAGAGCCCTGGAAAGCTCAGTCCACCTGAGAACAAGGGGATCCATCCCTTCTGCTTTCTCAAGAAAAAACAGGTATGATTATTAGAAGTTAAATAAAGGACAATGGAGAATGAAATTGAATAGAGTCATTTGTAAGCCATCTTAATTAAAGGTTGCTTTTGGTTCAAGCCTGGAAAATGGAGTAAGTGCCCGTGGGAGGAGGAGACACTGGAGACTCTCCTGTCACTTCTTTCTTGGGAGGCACTCTGCTTGGTGGTCTTGGATGTCAACTCTGCAGATTACTTGGTCCAAACTCTGGCTTAGCTACAAGTTAGCAATGAGGCCTCAGGCCATTGACTCCGTAGTCACACCTCAGTTTTCTCCGCAGATAGTAAGAGAGAGTAACGTCATCCCCCTGGCTTAGGTGAGCTTTAAGTCACTGAGTTAATGCATGTGACTGTCTGGGAGCAGCGCCCAGCCCATGGTAACGTCATCCACCTGGCACAGGTGAGCTTTAAGTCACTGAGTTAACGCATGTGACTGGAAACAGCGCCCCAGCCCACAGTAAACACTGTTAATCTTTGTTCTTATTTTTCATGGTCTGTTGGGTGGAAATCTCCCAGGGGAAAGTAAGGAGAAAGGGATGGGGATACAGGGAGAGGGTAGAACTGTGGGTAGTAATTTCCTGGTTTCATTTCAGTGTCACATTCTCCATTGGAAAAAGGGAAGCGGACTTGTAGCTCCCTGGGCAACATTAAGGTGGGGGAAGCAGCATGTTCAAAAGCAGACGATAGCAGTGGGCTTCCCGGAGGAGGCAGCACAGGAGTGTGTGGATGTAGCCTCCATCACAAAGCAGAGCTGGCTTTGATGCACCATCTGGTGCTTCATGAAACTGGAAATGGAAAAAAGTAGGTCTTCTCATACACTGTTTACAAAGCTGCTGATGGTGGCTGCCTGAATCACCCTGTCTAGAAAGATTCTGAGGTCAAACCTAAGTCAGGTGGGAGAAGGTACCAAGGTGATAACAACAGTTCTGGGCTGAAAGGGCAAGAATTTAAATTTAGCCTTTAATTACCTGTTGATCAAAAAAATTCTATGATACTGATAAGGACATTAGTAGCTAACATTTACTGAATGTGCCAACATGTGTCAGTCACTGTGGTCAGTCTTGTTTGGTCTTCATATGAGTCGGCCCTGGGAAGTCGACTGTCCTCCCCAGCAGTATGGTCTAGAGCAGGTGAATTTTAAAAGCTGATCTGTCCAATCTCTTGTGGTCAGATTTCACAGGTGAAGAGTGTGAGGACTCCCAGCTCGTGTCTCACCTGCTGAGCTGCAAGGAAGGGAGAAGAGCTGTTTCTCCATTTGCTTGTCTCTCTGGGAACTCTGATGCTGATTTGCTCCATCCAGAAACTCCGGACCATGTAAGTGGAAAATGGGGCTTATAAATAAAAGTCTCAAGAAAGAGTTGGACGTATAGCTGTAGGCAGTTTAGCAAGGACTTTAAATTCCCCAAATTGAAAAAAAATCCAGGTGTAGCAACAGAAATATCCAGCAAGTGGCGCGATTTGTTTGTCATTTTGGCCTGAGGACCCCTGCCCCATTACACAGAAATCCAGGACCAGCACTTCTCTGGAGATTAACATGGGTTTGCTGTGAAAAGAGCACATTAAACGACCTTCAGGCTTCCCAGTCTTGCTGTAGGTGCTGTGAATCCCA